AAAAAAAAAAAAAAAAAAAAAAAAAAAAAAAAAAAAAAAAAAAAAAAAATATTGGGTTCTAATTTTGGAATTATTGATTCATTACCATACGAATTAGAATTGTAATTTTAATACTCTCTTCTTGTAGTTGTATCATATCTTCTTTCCGACCGTTATTGTATTAATCATGCTCTGTGCTCGTATTAAAGATTCATGACGGTTAGAGATATTCATGGAGATAGGTAATAGCTCTATTTTATTCGTCGTTCCTATAAAATTCTTTATTTTTGGTAGGGATCGAGGCAAGAGTGGGGATTTGGGTGGGACTTGGGTGGGACTGAGTAGGGTATATTCTCTTGTTCTTAGCTTTGTTTTGTGAATGAAGAGAAATATCTTCTTGAACCGTACCATTCCAAGGATTTTCGACCTTGTTTGGGATGGATTCCTATATATGGCTACTTTTTTTTTTAATATTTTAAAATTTCAGAAAATTACTTTTAAATTTTCTATTAAATCATTGCAAGTTTAATTTTTATGGTAAAAATGTTATGTCTAATTATGATATAATAAATACTAAAATAATAAGAAAATAGAAAAATGATAAATTAACTCCAATTGGATATTTATAAAATGTCTTTTTTTTAGAATTATTAAATATTCCGTACCTTTAAAAAGTTGTATTCAATATAAAATTAAAAGTTAAACAATTTATTAAATATTTTTTAAACTTCATACATATCTTAAAAAAGAATTATAAAATAAGATAAAAAATTTATTAATAAAAAAAATTGTTAGATACTGATTATTTGAAATAGAGACTAAATTTATAATTAAAAAAAAAAATATATATATATAATATAAAAGTTCACTGCCTTAATTATGAACATTCAACCGGGTGCTAGCGCTTACCTTCTTGATGGTCTTTCTCTTTATATTTCTCTTTATAATTTCGTTTTATTATTCAACATACGATAGATCATTTACATTTCAGTGATTTCGTGTCTTCGATTACGATTCGTTTTCTTGAAAACTGCATCGTTATGATTTCGTTCCTTTCTGTTCTTGCAATGATTAACCGCATCATTGCAAGTTCGTCTAGAGTCGAGATTGTCAACTTATTGGAAATTAACCAATGTAGGACATACTCTCAATAATCTGTGGCTCCACTTATAAATCCATGATCTTCTACTAAATTAACCAATGTGGGACATACTCGAGTTTCTCAACACCAAATTTTGTAGGATTATGCAGTTTCTAGAAGATTTAGATCAACGAGTATTATTTAACTATTCTTATTACTACTTTCTGCATGATATGGAGATTTAGTTATATTTGAAACTCTCTTATGGTCTATCAGTCGGCGCCCAACGTGAAAGCTAATAGTATAAGGATGTTGAAGATTGTTGGGAGGGAGTCTCACCATAGTTAATTTAGGGAATGATTATGAGTTTATAAGTAAGAAATTCCATTGGTACGAGACCTTTTGGAGGATCTCAAATCAAAGCCATGAGAGCTTATGCTCAACGTAGACAATATCATACCATTGTGGAGGTCCGTGATTTCTAACGTGGTATCAAAGCCATGCCCTTAACTTAGCCATGTCAATAGAATCCTCAAATGTCGAACAAAGAAGTTGAGATCCTCGAAGGTGTAGAAAAAAATGATTACAGTGTCAAACAAATGGTATACTTTGTTCGAGGATTCTAGAGAAGGGGTCGAGCCTCGATTAAGGGGAAACTCTCAAGAGAGGCTCTATAGTGTACAATTAATGAGTCTAGCATGGCCCGTCATGGAAGGACAAAATGTTCACACGACAAGGCTTTGCCCATTAATATAATTATACTTTTTTTGGTAGAAAATCTGAATTGGTGAACAATGACGTTTAAGGACGCGATTGAATAGTCAGAAACCAATAAATTTAACGTAATCTTAACATTATCATTTTTTAATGGGAAACTTTATCTGTTCCATTCCTGGCACCTATTTCATTTTACTTTTCCACAAAATTCTTTATTTACAGTATATTATTCTATTTTAAAGTTTTTATCTTTCAATATAATTTTTATTAAAAATATTATAATAAATTAATATATTTTATAAGTAAACATTATATTGAGTTTTAAAAATTTAAAGTTGGGGAGGATTATCGAGAGTGTTACATATTGGTTAATTTAGTGGAAGATCATGCTAAATGAGAAATACTGTCTTCATTGGTATGAGGCCTTTTGGGGCAGCCTCAAACGTTGAACAAAGAATTGTAGATCTCGAAGGTGTAGTTAAAAGTGACTAAAGTGTCCGAGCAAAGGGTGTACTTTGTTCGAGGAGGGGAGACTGTTCGAGAGCTCTATAAGCTTCAAAGGAGGCTTAGTGTACATTGTTCGAGAGGAGGATTGTCGAGGATTATTGGGAGTGAGTCCCATAAGTCCCACATTGGTTAATTTAGTGGAAGATGATGAGTTTATAAATGAGGAATGCTATTTAAAAAAGTCCAAAGCAAAACGTGAATATAATATTATTGTTGATTTTAAATTTATTCGAGATGAAAAAGAAAAAAGCAAAAAAAAAAAAAAAAAAAAAACGG